AGTGTTTCTTTGCTATTCATAAGGTTTTCCCTGGACAATTCTTTGAAAAGTGGACGGCCTCTTCCTTCTTCCAAGTCTGACTCAGTCTATAAGGTGGACTGTTACCTGTGCACCATGTGCATCTCGCTGGGTTTTAAACACCAGAGCCTCAGCCTCAAAACTCAAGTCTACATGTCACCACAGTAGGACAAACCGACAGACAAGTGTTTTGTAGTAGGAAGGTTATTTAGGTTATCTTGCCTACAACAAGAGGAGCCCTGGTGACACAGTGGTTAAAGTGCTTGGCTGCTAACCAATAGGTCTGTGGTTTGAACCCACCATGTGCTCTGTAGGGATAAAGATATAATAGTCTGCTTCTGTAAAGATTAACAGTCTAGGAAACCCTATGGAGGTGGTTCTACTCTGTCCTATAGGATTAGTATTAGTCAGAATTGACTCAAAGGCATTGGTTTTGTTTGTTTGTTTCGTCCACAGCACCACCCTTAATGCTTTTTACATTTAGAGATGAAGGGGTTGTGGGAGTTTCAGGGAAGAAAAGTACACCTGGCTGAGAGGATCTGGAAAGAACTTAGAGAAGCTGAATGTTGAAGAACAGGGACATGGGAGGGGGCACAGCAGGTGCAAAGCAGGAAGGCAGGAAATTATGCAGGCACAAAAAGGGCAGGAGGATGTTGTCTTCTGACCTTCTCTCACTTCACAATGGAAGAGAGAATCATCAGCATCAGCAGCTCCAGGCTGATTCCTATGAAAGTGGAGGTGAGACATGCCACCACCCTCTAACCTTTTTACAAATTTGACACCAACCATCCCTCCCAATAGCACTCTCCACTTCTTTGCTGGGTTTGAAAATTCATTGCAGCGGCTACACAGAACTCAGACAATACTCAGAATTATGGGGTTTATGAGGAAAGTAACTGGTTACAATTCAGGATCAGAAATAACACATTATACAGTTCTTTGGTTAGGACAGCCTCTTCTTAGCTGTGTCACAGGCATGCTTCTCTCTGGCCTTGGCTTTCGGCCCTGTGCCCATTGGCCTTTGCCCTGTTCTGGTAAGTGTTACAAAGCTCTTTTAGCTGTGCAGATTGTGCCCGGAAAGGCACTCCACTCCGCCAGCAGGCTTCCTGTCTGAAGGCACTAAGTTTTCTTGCTTTGTGTGCTGGGAAGCCCGCTGCTGTCTCATGCCAGTCACTTGGTTCTGCTGCCTCTATTGCCTCTGCTGCCATCATTCCTCTACTGCTGCTTCTTGCCATCTCAGCACAGAGATCTTGGGCCCAGGGACACATTTGATGGTAGTGAGATCTCTCCTTTCTCCCTCTGGGATGGCTTATTTTAAACCTAGTGGGATGATGAAACTGACCAATCCCCTGTATGGGTTCCATACACCTTATTTGCATGGTCCTACCCCATAAGGGAACTCTGGTAGCGTAGTGCCTAAGGCACTTGATTGCTAACTTGGTTCAAACCCATCAGCCGCTCCTTGGAAGTAAGGTTGGGCAATCTACTTCCGTAGTGATACTGTCTCAGAAACTCAAGGAGGGATTGCTATGAGTCGGGTCCGACTGACGGCACATAACCACACCACCACCACCCACATAAAGTAGGTAATAAGGGGACATAAGGGTACCATGTACCTTTTTTACATTATTAATTAACAAGGTATCCAGTCTTCTTGGTGGGTTACAAGCACCTTACATTTGCATAGTCCCACACAGGTATCTGGTGGGAGTCACAAAAACCATGGCTAAAAATAAACTAAACCTACTGCCATCAAGTTGATCCCAACTCATAGCAACCCTATTAGGGTAGAACTGCCCTGTAGTGTTTCTGAGGCTACAAATCTTCACAGAAGCAGACTGACTCATCTTTTTCCCATGGAGTAACTGGTGGGTTTGAACCACTGACCTTTTGGTTAGCAACTGAATGCCTTAGCCACTGTGTCACCAATGTTCCTAGACCATGGCTGTGGCTAGAAGAGCCATATTAAGTAATTCACTACACCATAGCAGATATGGAGGAAACTCTCTTTGATTGGAGGACAATGTCTGTGAAGGGGAAAATGAGGTTGGAGCAGGAGCCCTTAAATGTCTCACATCAGGGAATAATGTGATCTTAAGCCTTGTTTTACAAAGTTTAAGCTAAAGGAATGTCCAGGACAAATGGGACCAGGTGGTGGCAGGAGGGAGAGGGGTTTCGATTTGCAATGATGACCAGGAGGCTATTTAAATAGGCAGGTGATTGGTAATACGGCCTGAATGGGGGCAGTGGCTGTGGGAGTGGAGAGGAAGGAACCACTGGGAGAGAGACTCAGCTGAACAGATAAAGAAATCTAGGCCAAAAGCTGGGGGGGGTGGGGGTGGGGAATAGCAGAAAAGCCAGGCAAGCACATTGTCTGAATCTTGGGAAATGAATTTAAAATGTCAACAATTATCTGAACTGTTTTCCATCTTTTAATATTGTTCAGCAGCTGCTTGCAAATGCTAATAAACAGTTCATCTTCACTCTGTATGCAGCTAAGGATGTTTTTAGGGCATTTGATGAATCATTGTCTTTGGGTTAGAGGCAGCACATCCCAACAGAACTCCCAAAACTGAGGCATGATGTTTTTGGTTCTCCTAGAACCTGCTGATATGGCTGATGGAGAGGCTGATGAACAATCCTCCAGCACAGGGAGTCCAGATGGGGAAGGTCGGGTCTATGAGGACAAATTGTCACTCCATCGGAGGCTAGCCATCCGGGAGCTTGTGGACACTGAAGTCACCTACTTACACATGCTCCATCTCTGTGCCCGTGACATCAGAAGCAACCTCCAGCAGGTACCTGGGTGGGGCTGCACACAGCCATCTTTACAGGGACCAACGTGGTCCTGGTTCCTGGAACTTCCCTGTAGTTCCAGGGCTGGGCTTGATGGAGTAGAAGTGTGAAGTCTGCCAGACCTGCATTTAAGCCCCAGTACAGGTAGTCCCCAATTTATATCTGATGGGGTTCCTTTCCAACTACTTCATTGTAAGTTAGTTTGGACATAAGTTGAATGTTCCCTCCCTTTTTTTTCTTTTCATTTTCATTATTATGGCCTTTTATTGTGAGTGTCTTTATAAATCCAGTCTTTAATTGTCAGTGAGTGGACATCTAAGAATGATAACATCAGCAAATTATGTGCTGTGACATAGTAGTCCACATTACTATCAGTAAGATGTGTGTGTGTGGGGGAAAGGACAGTTGTAAGTGTTATTCATTATAACTCAAATACATCATAAATCAGGGGCTACTTATAATTCCATATTTTGACCATGAAGCCATCAACAACACCTTTGAGGCTTGGAGCTGTAGTTTATTTATCTGTTACATGGGGAGAGGAATGATCACCTCAGAGAATTAAGTGGTATAATGGATGAGAGCCCTTTATCAAGTTTAGAATTGCTTAAATTGACCCCATTTTGTCTCAATTTGGGGATGGTGACAGAGAAGTTATCACTAGGATGGGGTTCTCTTTATTATGTATATTTGTACATACATTTACATATATTTTTTGATTTCAGAAATAATACAGGCTCTCTCTATAATATTTCAAGCATCCCCTAGTATATAAACTACACAAAGACAAGGACTATATTTAGTTAAATGTCTCCCAGTTCTTGACTCATAAATAATGGACTTACAGTTAGTGTTTCTTAAATGAATGAAATACTAAAGTAGATAACATGAAAGATGAAAATCCTCTTATTCCACTCTTAAGAGATTAGAATTTCTCTCCCTAGACGTTAAACAATCAAATATATTGCTAAAACGGCACGGAGGCCACATGTTCTGACCTCCTCTAATCCCACAAGAGGAAGGCAGAATCACCATCAATAGCGCAAGGCCTATTCCTACAAGGCCAGCCATGCTGCCTCCCTCCAACCCTTTCACCAACCATTCCTCCCAAAGCACCCACCACCTCTCCTCTGGGTTTGATAATTCGCTGCAGTGGCCACACAGAACTCACGGATTACGGGGTTTATTAGGGAAGCACCAAGCTACAATTTGAGTTCAGGAAAAAATGCTCAGTCTCTCTCTCCGGCCCACCGTCCCTCAGCCGACAGTCTCTCACAGTCTCTTTCCCAGCAGTGCTGGTCTCTCGGAGTCTCACTCAGCGATGTGTGTCTCTTGCGTCTCTTTCCCAGCAGCACGTGTCTCCTTCAGGAACGCGTGTCTCTTTCAGCAGCACATCTTCCTCAACCAGCAGTCAGAGAGCGTTCTGCCTCCAGGAGGCCTCCTTTTGAGCCTGGAAGGGTGGTCAAACTAGAGAATCACAGCATCAGAACTCTAAGCACCTGAGAGAGAGTGGGAACCTCCCAGAACATTGTATTGTGCCACACCCAACAGAAATAACCCAGGTGGATAGCTTCAGCAATCAGGAGCTCCTCAGTTGCTCATAGAAAATCTCACCTTGGAATTTACAAAGAATCATGGGTAGAAAAGCCACACTAAGTAATTTACTACACCGCATATATGTTGTTACTTATTTTAACAAAAATGAGAGCACGCTCTAGATACTTCTCTATAGCTTTTCCTACTTGATGGTGGATCTAAGACCTCCTTCTAAGCTCTTGCATTGTAGATGTCCTGCAAGTTTTTTTAACAGTTGTATAGCTTAGTTAGGAATTCTGGTAGCATAGTGCCTAAGGCACTTGACTGCTAACCAGAAGGCTGGCGGTTCAAATCCACTAGCCACTCCTTGGAAGGAAGGTTGGGCAATCTACTTCCATAGTGATACTGCCTTGGAAACCCAAGGAGGGGTCGCTATGAGTCAGGTCAGACTCGATGGCACACAACAACAACAACAACATAACTTAGTTAATAGGTCTGGAGCCTACAATGTGTCTCAACATAATGGCAGTTGTTGCCAAGTATTCAGAACTGGAAAGAAGTCCACCTTCCCATCCCCATTTGACAGATGGGAAAACTGAGAGAAGAAAAATGCTAGTTAACAGTAGATGTAGGATAAAACCCCAGCCCAGCTTTCTTTTCATGCTTAGTCAGTCTCTTCCTCTCTACTTGTTAGAGTAATGAGAATGTCTCATGTAAAATTCAAATCTCTTGCAAACTTTGCATTGGTACAATAAGCCTTCCCAACCTAATAGAGAGGGGTCTGGACTACTCTTCATTGTCTGCAGATTAAGTTGCTCCATGAAACTCCCAGCAATCTCCTGTGGCTTCTTTGTTTCTTCCAGCTGCTGCAGGAAGATGTGAATGTCCTATTCTCAAACATTGATGATATCATCCAGGTGAACAGCAGATTTCTTCATGATCTGCAGGAGACAGCCTCCACAGAAGAGGAGCAAGTGCACCTAATCGGTAAGCAAAAGACCTAGGGAGGGTCAGCTTTAGATGCCCATGGATTGTCTTCAGCATGTGGTCATTGCTGAAGTGTCTTCAGAATTCCAGGGAAATGTAGCTCAATGGGAGTCTGTTTTGTGAAAATCATTTGGAGGAAAAAAAAAGGGGGGGATGGAACCAGGTTTGCTTGTCCAATAGAGCCTGCTGGAACTGAGAGGCTATGGCCCCTAACTGCGCTTCAGCTCTGGAATTAAACCCACACCTGTGGTTTCCAGCCAAACAAAAGACAGGCATATGAGTTGAATATTTACCTCAAGTAGATACTCTCCTTGGAGAGAACAATCATGGGAGAAAGAAAGGCTGCTTATGCACAGGGAGACAGTTCAGGGGGTAGGAGTCCATGGAGGGATGGACACAGGGAAGAGGTAACTATGGGGAGGACGTGGGAGGGGAGCTGTTGTATTGTGATAAACTGTGGTCAATGTCATGAGACAAAGTATACGTAAACTGCTGTATGGAAAGTGAATTTGCTCTGTAAATCTTCACCTGAATCACAAATTAAAAAAAAAAAGGGAGTCTGTTTTGAAATCATTGAAACAGCATGTCAGAGATAGCAGGGCTCTCAAATAATATCTAGTCCAACCTTATCACTTTATAGATGAAGAGACTGAGTCCCAGAGCCAGGGAGGGACATCCTCATGGTCACAGGATTGGTTAGTAGCACAGCTGAGTCTTTAGTCTTAAGTCTCTTATCTTCCTGTTTGACCTGCAGAGAGTCAAGATGCCACTTTGTCTCCTGCCCACACCTGGTGACTTCTGCATTCGCTGCCTTCACTACTTTCCTGGTAGGGTTGCTTGGAAAAAATATAAGAGGCTTAATCAAATGTGAATTTCAGATAAATGATGAATCATTTTTTTAGTGTAAGTATGTTTCATGCAACATATGGGGACATACTTATACTACACAATGATTCATCATTTATCTGAAATTCACATTTAATTGGGCATCCTGTATGTTTTACCCCTAAATCTGGCAACCTTAATAAAGTTCCCTGGCATTTAGAAAGTTCACAGAAAAAAGCTTCCTTGACTCTGCCTCTCATGGTTTATTGAAAAAGGATGTACAAGAACTCACGTGGCTTTTCTGCACTTAGTGCAGCTGTGTGCCGGGTTGGGGCTGCTCTGGCTGCTGCTAGTTCTGTCTCCATTCCCCTCTCAGCCTCCCAGCCCTCAGGCCTTGTTAGAAAGTCAGGCCCTTTTTCTAATCTGGAGGCCACGGTATTCTGAAACAATTTTGGACCTTGGGCAAGATTGTCTTTTATAGACAGTTTTCTCCCAAACGAGTTAAGTTCCCTTTCCTTGTGAATGATTCAAAGCACAAGTTGGATGATATCCCAGTTTGTTAATGAGTCTTCCTCCAATCCTGATGCCAAGTTTTTCTTCATATAAGGCTACTTCTTGGATTATTTGATCAGCATACAGATTGAATAAGTTTGATGAAAGGGTACAACCCTAGGAGGACTAAATCCAAACCCACCCACTGTCATTGAGTCAATTCTGACTCATAGTGACCCCCACTGGGTTTCTAAGGCTGTAAATCTTTACGGAAGTAGATTGCCCCATGTTCCTTGTGTGGAGCGGCTGGAGAGTTTGAACCATTGACTTTCTGGTTAGCAGCTGTTCTGGTTACCTAGTGCTGCTCTGACAAGAATATACCACAAATGGGATGAACTTAACGAACAGGAGTTTATTCTTTTACAATTTGGAGGCTTTAAGTCCAAGTTCTTCACTCAGGCAGCTATTGGCTGCTGAGGCTAACAAGCCCAAGGTCGATAAATAAAATGGCACAGTCCCAATGTTACCAAACCTCATGGCAGGCCATTAATTCAAGTCTATTGTAAGTCCCAAGGTTGGCAGAGCATGGCAGGCTGCTGAACAATGACACGGCTACATGCAGGGTCCAAGTGTGCCATTAGCTAGAGACCATTCCCAAGGCTTCTCCTTATATAGAGGAAGCAGACCACATCCCAAAGGCAGCTACTCAGCTGCTTGTGGTAGATCCCACCATGGAGTTGATTGCCAGTCTTATCATGGGAAATAATTACCTCCAGTTGCCCAGCCACTCAGCCAGGCCCAGCCAAGTTGACATACAAATTTAACTACCACAGTAACCAAATGCAGTTTCATGTTGATTTTTCTGGTCATGTTTTCTCTGGTTCTGGGGCCTCCTCCTCCTGCAGTTATTTTTGAGAACTGGCTAGACTAGCATAGGGGAAAGGGTTTGGTTCTAGGGTGGCAGTCTTGCTGTGGGTCTCTGCTGAGAGCTAAACCACATATAGGCACAATCTGATGTATCCTAAGAGTGTCTGGTCTGAGTCTGAAGTCCAGCCCCTGGCTTAAGCAGCTAGCAGGGTCAACTGGACTTCCTGTGGTCCATTGCTCCCCACCTGGCCCATTGTAGCTGATACACACCCCTCTACTTCTACCTTGATGGTAACAGATCTTGCCTTGGTATTTGTCTTGGCCTTCTAATACTCTTTTCATTTCCACTTTTCCCCCCTTAATTTATTCTCAATATAGCTTATTTATTTATTTATTTTGTATATATTGTGATGTGGATGAAAGTTTACAGGGCAAATTCATTTTCCATACAGAAGGTCACATATACTTTGTCTCATGACATTGACTGCAGTTTCCCACAATGCAACGGCTCTCCTCCCACTTCCTCCCTATAGTTACCTCTTCCCTGTGTCCTTCCCTCCCATGTATTCCTAACCTTGGAATCAGTCATTTCTTCTAGGAACCCTTGTTCCTATTTTTGGAGAATGGTATTTATTTAGAAATCAAGTTCTAGATGCTAGATGTGCTCATTGTTACTGGAGTGTCATTGTTCTTAGACTCTGTCAGATGACAGAGCTAGGAAATATATGTATGTATCCTAACACATGCACACATATATAACTATATTTCTTTCTCTATCTGTCCATCTGTATGTATATTTAAAACTGTCAGTTCATACTTATGGCTTAGTTCCAATCCATCCATCTGTCATTTTATTGATGTTTCCACTAAAATATAAGCCCCTTGAGGCAGGGGCTTTATTTTGTTCACAGACTTTAGAATAGTGCCCAGCATATAGTCAGTAAATAAACTCTCAATAGATACTTGTGAATGAATGAATGAATTTTGTTCTGGTGCTCTCCATGCATTATTTAATCTTCAAAAACAGCACTGTTGTTATTCCTATACTATAGATTAGAAAATGGAAGATAAGATAATGCTTTCTCCCAAGTTATACAACTGGGAAAGGGTAGACTGGAGGTCTGGCCTTAGCTCTCTCTGACTCCAAAGCCCCCACTCTTAACCACCTGTACTATGCTACTGCATGTCTTGGTCAACAGTGGGTCCATAGCTGTACTGGCCACACACAGTAATTGTAAAATAGGACAGTGGTAGTGAGCATGTTTTGTAAACTGTAAAACACTGTGCAACTATAAATGTCATCAGTATTATTATCATTATTGTGTTATTGTTGTTAGGTTCTGTTGAGTCTGCTCTGACTCAGAGTGACCCTGTGTACAATAGAATAAAACACTACCCAGTGCTGCACCATCCTCACAGTGTTTGCTGTGCTTGAGCTCATCATCACAGCCACTGTGTTAGTCCATTTCATTGAGGGTCTTCCCCTTTTTTGCTGACTCTCTACTTTATCAAGCATGATATGCTTCACCAGCAACCAGTTCCTTCTGACAACCTGATCATAGTAGATGAGACGAAGTCTGGCTATTCTTGCTTCTAAGGGGCATTCCGGCTGTACTTCTTCCAAGACATATATTTGTTCATTCTTCTGGCAGTCCATGGTATTTTCGTTATTCTTCAACAACATCACAATTCAAATGCATCAGTTCTTCTTCAGTCTTCCTTATTCATTGTCCAGCTTTCACATGCATGTGAGGCTATGGAAAATACCATAGCTTGAGTTAGGCACACCTTAATTTTCAAAGTGATATCTTTGCTCTTGCACACTTTAAAGAGGTCTTTTGCAGCAGATTTGCCCAGTGCAACACATCATCTGATTTCTTGGTTGCTGCTTTCATAGGTGTTGATTGTGGATCCAAGCAAAATGAAATCTTTGACAACTTCAATCTTTTCTCCATTTATCATGATATTGCTTATTGGTCCAATTGTTAGGATTTTTGTTGTCTTTATGTTGAGGTGTCATCCATACTGAAGGCTGTAGTCTTGGATCTTCATTAGTAAGTGCTTCAAGTCATCTTCATTTTCAGCAGGCTAGGTTGTATCATTTGTATTTTGCAGGTTGTTAAATGAATTTTCTTCCAATCCTGATGCCATGTTCTTCGTATAGTTCAGCTTCTTAAGTTATTTGCTCAGCATGCAGATTGAATATGTATGGTGAAAGGATGCAACCCTGATGTACACCCTTCCTTATTTTAAACAATTCAGTATCCCCTTGTTCTGTTTGAGCAACAGCCTCTTGTTTTATATACATGTTCCTCATGCGTACAATTAAGTGTTCTGGAATTCCTGTTTTTCACAATGTTATCCATAATTTGTTATGATGCACACAGTCAAATGCCTTTGCATAGTCAATAAAACACAGGTAAATATCTTTCTTATATTCTTTACTTTCAACCAAGATCTATCTGTCATTGTACCTATCATTTATTAAGCACTCACAGTGTGCCAGCCTGAGCTTTATCTCCTGCCACTTAGTCTTTACAGGAACTCCCTGGTACTCAAATGAGAAAACTGAGGCTCAGAAAGGTGAGGTAACTTTCCCAAGGTCACACTGCTGGTTTAGCCAGGTGGTCTGACTCCAGAGCCATAGTGCTTACCTGTCACACTTACTGCCTCCTTGTTCTAAGCAGGAGGACATACAGGTAGGTCCCAAAGAAAATAGGTCCCCTCCTTACCTTTGATAGCTTCTTGTTGCTTTTCCACTACTAGGTAACTTATTCCTGGAATTCCAAGAGGAGTTGGAGCAAGTCTATAAGGTCTACTGTACCAGCTATGACCAGGCCTTGCTGCTGATGAACACATACCAGAAAGACCTGGAACTGCAGCGGGAGATCCAGAGCATCATTGAGGCAGTGGTGTGAGTAGAATAATCACTATTGACCTCATGTCTCACCCCTACTTAGTGTTTCTCACATTGCTTTAAGAGTATATCACTACCAGTATCAGTCAGGTGATGCTGCAGAAACAAACAACTCTAAATTATCAGTAGCTTAAAAAAACAAAGGTTTCTATCTTCCTTATGCTCCATGCTCACTGCAAGTTGACTTGAAGCTCTGCTTTCCATCATCCTTACTTCAGGGCCCAACTTGACAGCAGCTGTTGTCTGGAATATTGCCAGTTATGGTAGAAAGGGAAAAGAGTTGTAGAGGGTCTTAGACTTGTAATTACACACTCTAGTCCAGAAACAATATCCATTACTACTCATAGTTCATTAAATATAGGACTAATCACATGGAGTCATCCAGCCACCAGGAGGCTAGGAAGTGCTATCCTACAATGTGTTCAGAATCTGGGAATGCAGAAACATTTGGTGAACTGCCACTGCCACTGCCACTGCCATTCAGTCAATTCTGACTCATAGTGACGCCTTAGGGCAACATAGATCTGCTCCATAGAGTTTCTAAGGCTATAAATCTTTACAGAAGCAGAATGCTTCATCTTTGTCTCATGGAGCAGCTGGTAGGTTCAAACTGCCAACCTTTTGGTTGGCAGCCAAATGCCTTAACAATTGTACCACCAGAGCTCCTTATTTGGTGACTAGCACTCATGACTGCCACAGAGAAGAGCAACAAGGTGGTAGGAACCATGTGTTGCAAGCAACAGTGGAAGGAAGCAGGTGTGTGTCACCTGGGGAGCCCTCTCTCCAGATGGCTGAAGTCCTGCAACATGAAAAAGGCTCAGACAACCCAGAGGTGGCACTAGAGTGGAAGCTCCAGGGAGACAGATGTAGAGAAATTTTTTTTAGTTTAAATTTTTGAATGGGTGATATAGTCACATGGCTTAAAAACTTTAAAAATTTATGCTAGAAAATCTTCCCAATCTGTCCCTTCATATCCTCAAAGGTAAAGTAACAACTTCTAAATTTCTTATATATCTTTACAGAGCTCCTTTATGTAAATAAAAGCAAATACAAATATGTTCTATTTTCTTGCCTTTTCAATGAAAGTTTGTATCTTTTTGTTGATTGTTATTTCCATACCTACAAAATATCTTGGAGGACTTTCCATTTCAATACATCCATCCATCCAAAAACAACCAAACCAAACCTGTTGCCATTCGTCGATTCCTACTCGCAATGACCCTATAGGACAAAGTAGATCTGTCCCATAGAGTTTCCTAGCCTGTAATCTTTATAGAAATAAACTGCTACATCTTTCTCTCTCTGAGAAGCTTGTGGGTTAGAACCACAAACTTTTGGTTAGCAGCTGAGTGCTTAACCGCTGTGTCACTATGGCTCCTTATGCATACATACATGATCCTTTTAACAGCTGTATGCTATGTCACTATGTGGCTGTTCCACAGTTTATTTAACTACTTTTCATTTGGGCACTTTGTTTCTATTCTTTTCTTAATATATACAGTGCTACAGTGATTAATTTATAACATAACTTATTTCACCCAAGTATATCTATAAGGAGCTCTGATGGCATAGTGCGTAAGGCATTTGACTGCTAACCAGAAGGTTGGCAGATCAAACCCACCAGCCATTCCTTGGAAGGAAGACTGGGCAACCTACTTCCATAGTGATACCACCTCAGAAACCCAAGGAGGAGTCGCTATGAGTCAGATCTGACTCAACGGCAGTGAGTTGTTTTTTTTTTTTTCCTTTAAATATCAATAAGGTAAATTTCCAGAAAAGGAATTGCCAAATCAATGGAAATATGCATTGGTAATTGTGATAAACGTGAAAATTTCCCTCTTTAAAGAGTGACAATTTATATCACCACCAGCAATGTCTGAGAGTATCTCTTTCCCCACAGCCTCACCAGCAGAGTGCATTATCAAACCTTAGGATTTGCCATAATGATAGGTGAAAAATGTGTTGCAAAATGGTTTCATTCTGCATCTGTCTTACTATGATTGAATTTTAATATCTTTTTGTGTATGAAGAGTCATTTTTGTCGTTTCCTTTCCTGTGACTTGTTCTGCTGCTTCTCTGTTTTAAAACGAGTTATCTCTTCCCCAGAACAAGCCACTAAAGGGAGATAGATGATTATATTCTAGAAATCAGAATACAGTAGTGTAGGAAGAACAGAGGTGGTTATTTTTATCTTACACACAAGAGAAAGACATTGTAGACTTTTCATTTTCTCTGAAAATGAGATTGTACCATGTGGTAACTCCTGCTAATTCCCCTCTTCCTCTTCCTTACCTTTCAATTATCCCTCAATTCTCCTCCTTTCCCCTGAGCCTCTTTTTCAGGTACCCATGTCCTAGCCCAGTGCCTTGTCCTGCCTCCAAAGAACATGCAACTATATCTCCTTTTGCATATTACTGTATTAGGATCGTTATCTTAATGGATGTTACTATATTAGGCATTTGCAACTGTCACTAAATTCTTTTAGTCAGACAAAGTTTCCCTTAGAAATGAGAGAAGCATGGTGCCTAGTGTGGGACAATAAGGACTGGTGGAGTCTGTGGTAAACCGAAGAGCACAGATCCTGTGTAAAGGGGGCAGTTGTAGTGCAGCCACAGCAGGTTGTTGGTGTATCACGTAGCTTTTGCAGTTTAACAGACCACTCCAAAACATAGTGGTTTAAAACAAGCATTTATTTTGCTCACACCTCTGCATGTTAGTAATTTAGCTGGGCTTGATCAAAGGATTCTTCTGGTCCTGACTGAACTCCTGACGTGACTAAGATCAACTGCAGATTAGTTTTGCTGATCTTGGCTATGTTTTCATATATCTGGCACACACAAGCTGACTCAGCTCTGGCCACCTGGTCTCTCGTTTTCCATCAGGATAGCTTGTTCACGTGGTGGTCACAGGACACACTTGCTGTCAGCATGGCTTTTGAGCTCCTCCCTCTTGAAACAACAATCCTGGCTTTCTTGTGCTTGTGCTTGACAGCTGAGGCAGCAGTATTTTGAGAAGGCAAAAGTATTTTCCTTCATTGGCTACTTTTGTTCGTTTTAAATATATAATAATACAAGCTCACTGAAAAAAAATTAAAAAGTCAAATATATAAAGTAAAAGTTTGCTCCCCTTGGTTCCCATTTCCCCATCCCTCTCCCAGTAGTTAACATTTTCCTTCCCAATTTTCTTCCATATATTTACAAACAGAGAAAAAGAGCACAAGAACGCATGAGGTTGACACTAGTTTTTTAAGGGGAGTCCTTGGGTGGTGAAAATGGTTAACACACTTGACTACTAACAAAAGGTTGGAGGTTCAAGTTCCTCCTGAGGCACTTGAAAGAAACACTTGGTGATTTGCTTCTGAAAAATCAGCCACTGAAAACCCCGTGAAGCATAGCTCTACTCTGATACACATGGGGTCCCCGTGAGTTGGAGTTGGTTAACTGGTTATTGGTTCATATTATGCATGCTGTTCTAGAACTTTCTGTTTCACTTAACTGTAATCATGAAATCTTTTCATGACAATATGAATAGTTCTACCACATTCTTTCTAATGCTGCATAGAGTTCCTTTCTAGGAAATCTCCTCCTACTACTACCCTTTGCCATCAAGTCAGTTCCAACTTGTAGAGACCATGTAGGATATAGTAGAACTGCCCCATATGGTTTATTTGAACATAGATAGTTGAATTATTTCCTTTTTTTTTTTTCCGATTTCTAGATGTGAAATCTATTATAAAATTCATTCATTGACAGCACTTTTTAAAAATTAACAACTATCATTTTTAGGGAGATACTAGATTTGTAGAGAAGTTGAGCTCTCATATATCCTCTCTTCCCTCCACCAACAGTTTCTTCTATTATTAACATCCTTATTAGTGTGATACATTTGTTACAACTGAAAAACCAGTAATATATTATTATTAACTAAACAATATCAACAAAGTGCATAGTTTACATTAGGGTTCACCCTTTGTGTTGTATTGTTGCATTGGTTATCTGAACAACACAAACGCAAATGCAATGCACTGCCGTGGAGTTGGATCTGACTCATAGTGACCCCTCCTTGGGTTTTCGAGGCAGTATTACTACTGAAGTAGATTGCCCAACCTTCTTTCTTAGGAGTGGCTGGTAGGTTTGAACCGCCAGCTTTCTGGTTAGCAGTCAAATCCTCAGGCACTACGCCACCAGCGCTCCTGGTTATCTGTTGTTGTTGTTGTTATGTGCCATCGAGTCGGACCTGACTCATAGCAACCCCTTCTTGGGTTTCCAAGGCAGTATCACTATGGAAGTAGATTGCCCCGTCTTCCTTCCGGGGAGTGGCTGGTGGGTTTGAACCGCCAGCCTTCTGGTTAGCAGTCAAGTGCCTTAGCCACTATGCTACCAGAGCTCCCCCCGGTTATCTAGTGCTCCTATAACACAAATGTGGGTAGCTTTAACAAACAGAAATTTATTCTCTCACAGTGTAGGAAGCTAGCAGTCTGAATTCAGGGTGCTGGCTCTAAGGGAAGGCTTTTTCTCTTTGTTGCCTCTAGAAGAAGGTCTTTGTCTCTTTTGAGTGTCTGTTTCTGGGAGATCTTCATGTGGCTTGTCATCTCTTTCCCTATCTCTTGTTCTCTTGCTTGTTTAATCTCTTTTATATCTCAAAAGAGATTAAGACACATCCTATATTAATACTATCTCATTAACGTAACAAGGAAAACCCATTCCCAAATGGGATTATAACCACAGGTATAAGGGTTAGGATTTGCTACACATGTTTTTGGGGAAACAATTCAATTCCTAAGAACTGTCCTATGAGTTTTGACAAATGCATAATGTTATGTGTCATACAAAAATCCCCCCTGATTCGCCTATTCATTTCTCCTTCCCTCCCTCTAATCCTTGGCAACCACTGATCTTTTTACTGTCTGTGTAGCTTTACCTTTTCTAGAATATCATAGAGGTGGAATTGTATGGTATATAGCCTTTTCAAACTGACTTCTTTCATTAAGTAATATGCATTTCAGGCTCCTCTATGTCTTTTCACAGCTCAGTTTTGTACCATCATAAACAGAGTGGCTGAATAACTTCTTGGCTGAATAACTTCTATCTTGGTCCTTGCTCAGTTGAGCTGGTATTTCTATAGATAATTTCTGGAGTGGGATTGATGGAGCAAAGGGTTTGCACATTTCATGAATTGCCAAACTGCTTTCCTAAAAGATTTCACCAATTCATGGTCCTACCAAGAGACTGTGAGGGGGCCAGTTTCCCCAAATCATCCAGATTTGGTGACTTTTTAAAATTTTTGTAAAAAATTTTTCAATTTTTGTTGGATACTTGAAAGACTGAATAAAACATTTTGTCCAAATTACCCAAAGCTGTAAATGTCAGAGGCTCCCATTGGTCTGCAGTGACTCCTGGATAACTGGGGCAATGACTCCTGGATAACTGGGGAGAAGGTCCAGGTCATCTCCTTGAGGACCCCTTTCCTTATGATTTGTGACATGAGAATTATCCTCAGGAGGCAGTTGGCCCTTTCTCATGGAGGCTAAGCCCAGAGGACAGAGTTTTGCAACTGTCCACCAACTGTTCTCATTTCCCTTGCCCACAGTTAGCCAAGCTCCTGGAAATGCTTATAAGAGCAGAGGGTCATTGTAGGCATGTCCTTCCAGGTGATCTGAAGCTCATGGCCACCCTTCCCTCCTACCCCCTGCAGCTCCGATGGGGCTCCATCTGCCCTTTCTTGGTCTCATGCTGATCTTTCTTGGACATTCAGTCTAGAGAATTTTCCTTAGGGTAAAGAGTAGGAGGCTAAAGGAGAGGGGCCAGAGAATGGTCTGGAACAGTGTGTGTAAAGTCTTGGAAAAGGTGTATCTGGGCATTAGACAGACCCTTGTGAGTTTCTTGGGAGGCCAAGCTGAGGGTTACTAGTTGTCACCAGAAAGAGTAGTGGAGCCTTTTCCCTGATGCCATGGACTCGGAGGACTCTTTCTGCAAATTCCAGGCATCATCAAGAAAGGGACTGGAAAAGTAATTTTTTAAAAAAGAAGGGGGCTAGAAATTGTTATCAATATATCAAATGGTACACCTAGAGGGCATCTCAACACCATTAGCATATTTTTCTTAACTGAAAAATATGAAGCCTATAGACAAATAGAATAATGTAATGAACACTCACTCACATACCCATCACCTAAAATTAACAAGTGTTGGCATTTTGGTATGTTTGCTTCATCTATTTGTATGCTAAATTATTTAAAGGAAATCACCAATATTATGACATTTTACTCCTAAATACTTTAAATATATCTCTGAAAATTAAGTTCTTGTGATTTTTATTTTTCTCTTTAAGGCTTCAGAGACACTTCTTTAAATGAATGTTGTATGGATGCCAGTATGTAGAGTTCTGTGTGGGATGTAGTAAAGTGGATGCCCAGTACAGCTGAGTATGTGAATCTGAGCTCTGAACAGAAGCCAAAGGTGGAATCTGCATTTGGCATGTGTTTAAAGCCTGGAACTGAATGAGGTCAGAAAGAGTGAGTGGAAAGAGGGAGGAGGAAACCTCAGGTGCTCTGCCCTTAGAGAGAAGCTAGCTGAGGGAGCTGAGAGAGAGGCCTAGGGAATGTGAGAGAAAGCAGGATGAAGGGTATCTCAGTTATCTGTTGTTGTTGTTGTTGCTATATGCCGTCGAGTCGGACCCGACTTATAGCGACCCCTCCTTGGGTTTCCAAGGCAGTATCACTATGGAAGTAGATTGCCCCATCTTCCTTCCGAGGAGTGGCTGGTGGGTTTGAACCGCCAGCCTTCTGGTTAGCAGTCAAGTGCCTTAGGCACTATGCCACCAAAGCTCCTTCTTAGTTATCTAGTGCTGCTATAACTGAAATGCCACATGTGGAGGGCTTTAACAAACAAATTTATTCTGCCACAGTGGTGTTGTTATGTGCCATTGAGTAGGACTCGACTCATAGCTACCCCTCCTTGGTAGAACTCCAGACTCAGGGTACCACCTCGAGGGGTAGGTTTTCTCTCACTGTTGGCTCTGGAGGAAGGTTCTTGTCTCCTTTCAACATCTGTGGACATGATGTTCCTTGGAGATCTCCATGTATCTTGACATCAATCTTCCCCTGTATCTAGGCAGTTCACAGTGCAGGGAACCTGGGTCCAAAGGATGCACTCCACTTCCAGCTCTTCTTTCTTGGTGGTACTGGGGTTCCTCAGATCTCTGCTCACTTGTTTAATCCCTTTTATATCTCCAAAGAGATTGACTTAAGATAGAGCTTAATCCTGTAGATTGCATCCTACCTCATTGACATAACTGCCTCTAATCATGCTTCATTAACATCAAAGAGGTTCCAATTTACAAGGCATAGAATAATTACATCAGATCACAAAATGTAAGGTAATTACATTACTGAGAATCATGATCCAGCCAAATTTGGGGAGGACAAAATTCAATCTATGACATTGGGCATTGTGGGGATGAAAAGAAGAAAATGTTTCAAGGAAGAAGAATAGTCAGCTATGTCTGCTGTTCAGGTGTTGAATAAGTAGAGGGCAGAAAAGTGACCACTGGATTTGGTACACATGGGGAATCAAGGCCTAGAAAGGAGGGTGAGAAGTTGCAGTGCCCACTTAGTGTCTGCTGTTGATGCCAGTAAGTCAGCTCCCGACTCATGGTAACCCCATGCACAATGTAATGTTGATGGTGGTACTTCATAGGGCTTTCATTAGCTAATTTTCAGGAATAGATCACCTGGCTTTTCTCCCTAGTCTGTCTCAGTCCTAAAGCATTGCTAAAACCTGTTCAACATCATAGCAACACACAAGCCTCCACTGACAGGTGAGTGGTAGCTGCACATGAGATATACTGGCAAGGACTCAAGCCTGGATCTCCTGCATGGAAGCTGAGATTTCTACCACTGAACCATCAATATCCCCCGTCTAACATCTAAGCACACAAGCAAACCAAACCAGTTGTCATCTAATTGATTCTGACAGTGGCTCTGTGTGTCAGAGTAGAACTGCAATCCATAGGGTTTCCAGTGGCTGTGCCTTTCTTCTGAGGCGTCTCTGGGTGGATCCAGACCTTCAGCCTCACGGTAGCTGAGGGCTTAACTGTTTACACCATCCAGGTTGCCTTCTCACATTTAGATCTCTCAAATTACAGGTGAGGAAACTGAGGACCACAGAGGGAGGGTGGCTTGCTTGAGATCACCCACTTACATGGCAGAGCTGGGAGTAGAGCCCAGGCCCTTTGTGCCTCAAAGGGTGGGTTTTATTTACCTAACACTAGCCTTCTCCCTCAGGCCACAAGCTGGATCTTCAGGCCTCAGTTTCTTATTGGTATCCCCTCTTCAGAGGATTACCAAATACCCATTGATGCTGCAGAAAATCCTGGAGAACACACCGCCTGATGCCAGTGCCTATCCTGTCCTTCAGAAGGCTACCTTTGCCCTTCAGGATGTGAATGCCAACATCAATGAGTACAAGATGCGCAAGGAAGTGGGTAAGAAGATGGACATGTAGGGACTACATTGATGATAATACTTCCAGTTACAGAAAACTCATCTCAAACTGACTTTACCAATAAAAGGAATGTAGTAACTTATATAACCATACGTCCACTGGTAATGTGGGCTTTAGGTAGGGATTGATCAGGATGCTGACTCTAAAACCAAAATCCAAACTGTTGAGTTGGATCTGACTCATAGCAATCCCTCTTTGGGTTTCCAAAGCAGTATCACTATGGAAGTAGATTACACAATCTTCCTTCCTAGGTGTGGCTGTTGGGTTTGAACCACCAGCCTTCTGGTTGGCAATCAAATGCTTTAGGCCCTGTGCCACTCAGTTCTGATCTTTTCTGTGTGTCAGCTTCATTTTCAGGCTGACTTGTCTCATCATAGGAAATAACTATTTCTTTTCTAAGATACCCTGTCCCCTTAGTCACCATAATTAAATGTAAGTTTTGTTCTAATAGGACTATATGCTTGAGTCATGTGCTGACCCCTGTCAGTCACCATGGTTAGGAAAATATCATGCATGTGTTGTATCTTGGGTTATGTGCTCTTCTTTGGATCACTGTGGCCAGGGGGATGGGATTATACAGATTAGTTTATATCAGTTAGCACCCACCCCTTGAGCCAAATGAGATTGAGCCCATCCAAACCACATTACAGAGGAGAATTAAATGAATGCTGGGGAGGGGGAGAAGCCCTGCCTCTCAGATTGCAAAACAAAAAAGTTTGGAAAATGAAGCAGTCCCAAGTGTAAACAAACTCATTTGCACAACTGAGACAATACAATAATGATAATTTAGCTAGTGTTTACTAAGGGCTAATCATGCCATGTTTTTTCATTCATTATCTTGTTTGATCCTTGCCAACAGCCTCCCGAGGCTGGCACTGTAACCCCATGTCAGTCAGGCAAAATAAGAGCTTAAGTCATTTGCTCCATGTCATGGAGCTGCTAAGTGACAGCCAGGTTTCAAACTCAGTCTTGGGGTCTTCACCACACCATACTATATCTGGTAGCTTTGGATTTCCTCCACTTGCTTCTCCATCCATGTTGACAGATCAGGAGAAAATGAGCTAGGAGTTGGGAAGTGAAGTTCCCAGCCTATCCTGGCTAACACTGGTGGCGGGGACTCAGGTGAATCATTTCTCATCTGGGCCCCTGTCTTTTAGAAAGTACCTTCAGACCCATCATCTTATGTGATCCTCCCAGCTGCCCTGTAAGGCAGCTAGCCTCATTTTACAGAGGAGGAAACTGAGCCCCAGGATGTGGTGGCTTACCCAAGTGAAGCAGACAAGTAGTGCTTCAATCAGAATCAAACTCAGTCTGAAGACCCTGAGTCCTGTGCTTTTATTAGGCCACTCCCCATTCTAATCGGATGTGACCATTACAGAGCAGAGGGCTGGGGCAGGTGCCTAGGCAGCTGTGTCAGGGATGTTTACTGTCCAGGGTGGGCTTTGGTCACTGTGCTCTCCTCTTTCTCTGTTGTGCAGCTTCCAAGTACACGAGGGTGGAGCAGCTGACCCTGCGGGAGCGCCTGGCCCGTATCAACACACACACCCTCTCCAAGAAGACCACCCGGCTAAGCCAGATGCTGAAGCAGGAGGCAGGGCTTGTACCCAGAGTGAGCATAGACTTGGGGCCCAATGTAGTGAGGAGGTCCCATCCATTGCCGTCAAGTTGATACTGACTCATAGTGACCCTATATATAGGACAATGTAGAACTGCTCCATAGGGTTTCCAAGGCCGTAAATTTTTATAGAAATGGACTGCCTCATCTTTCTCCTACAGAGTGGCTGGTGGGTTCAAACCACTGACCTTTTGGTTAGCAGTCAAATGCTTTAACTACTATACTACCAGAGCTCCTTGTGGGGAGGAAAGGGTGTATAAACTCCTTTTGGAGATGTAGAAACTGAGACTGAAGGAGTGATGTGGCTTCCCAACTTCACAAAATCAGGAATAGGCAGGGTTGTGACTCCAACGTGCTTCACAAGATCCAGGATAGGGCTGCTCTACTGTGTCTTGTGTCTGGGACCTCTATACAGTGTAGGAGAGCTGGTTTCTGGATCTGGGGAAGAAACCATCCCCCAAGAGCTGCTAGGAGTGTCTCAGGTGGGGTGAGTGCTTATTCTGAGCCAGACATTATATAAGCCTCACAAAGAAGTAGATATTCTTATTAACCCCATATTGCAGGTAAGAAAACAGAGGCTTAGAGAGAGTAAAACACTTGCCCATGATCACACAGCTAAGTGAATGAACTAGGACTCATGCTTGGGTGTCTGAATGCGAGACAACTAAGCTATCCTGTCTCCTAACCATACCACTTAGCTTTGAGACTGGAGGAAGGGGCTCTGATGGGCGGGTCTGTGGAAAGTGGTCTCCAGTGAGGAATTGTAACATGGGTGCCAGGTGTACAGTGCCCCCTTGTGGATATTCTTTGCCTTCACATGAGTAACTGACCACTTTCAGATGGAAGATAAGGAATTTGATGACTTAGAAGAGAGGTTCAACTGGGTGTCGCTGTGTGTGACGGAGCTGAAGAACAATGTGGCTATCTACCTGGATAACTTGGAGGTGAGGACCTGCAGAGTTAATGATGCACTGAGTCTAGGGTCTTAGTTCCCCAGGCAGGAAGTGTGTGGAGCCTATTTCACAAACTGACAAAGGCACCAGCTACAGGAACCAAATGGATGAGGTCATCCAGTCAGATGACATCATCCACTGGCAGCTGCTCCTTGTCCCATAGGACATTAGACCACTGAGCTCTCAGAAGGTAAGTTTCCAACTGGGCAGTGTCAAAATTCACTGAGATAAGAGCCCTCCGGTGGGACCCTGCCAGACTAGCACTTGGAGGAGGGGTCACAAACTTGGGTGCCTGAAGGGGCCAGGCAGATGATATTAAGTCAAGTATGCAAAGTGTCCGAGGCAAGGGGCTGTTTATGAGACTTTTCCATTAGAGTTAAGCATATAATATTCGAAATTTGAATGAATGAATGAACAGATGAATAAATCTAAAGGGATAGCCACTACTCCACTCTGGGTTGTTGCTCTGTGGGAATGTGGGCCTCGTATGGCCAGTTCTTCTGATTTTGAGGGAAAAAATAATGCAGCCTGGAAATTCAGACTTTTAGGTGAACCCTCTTAATTTGTAAATATGAGCAATTAATTAAATTAAAATTTAAATGTTATACAGGCCCAAGAAAATATACCTCTACATACTGAAGTCAGCTCATAGGGCCACCGGTTAGCATGCCCATCCAGCATATCACTGCTTGAGCCAAAATCTCCCCTTCATTCCTTTCATTGATGGTGACTCATTCCATACACTGCGTCCCCTTTATGTGGTTTTGTTCTCAGCCATGTCCATTTGTGCAAACCAGCTCAGTCAGAGACTACAGTGGCATCCTTGGGAAACAGGATCTTGGGTGGCATTCATGGAAATGTATAGAAGGAGGGAGGTCATCATTCCACCTTCCTCTCTGTGGGTCAGATCCCCATTTGATCATACTCCTTCCTAGACCCCTGGAGGAAGGATCTGGACCCCTGGGATTCTGTCATGGTGAACAGGAGAGGAAGATGCTCAGAGCCAAGAAATGAAAAAGAGTGTCAGGGTCTGTAGATACTGGACTTTGAGAGATAAACCAAAGGGGCCTGAGTGATAAGTTGGCTTTGTAGGGTAGGGTGAATATTTGGAAGTGTTAGGCTGTAGTTCCCTATACACAGGACTTCCATGATCCTTCAGAGATACAGTGTTAAACAGCATGGAGTCATGTATTGAGAAAGTGACTCCGTTATTTAATCCTCTGCCCCTCTCAAGGAAAAGCGTCTTTGGCTGCTATGCCTTGCCTGAGGCTGGGAGTCTTCAGCAGGCAAGATATCCAGGAAGAATTTAATAACACTGTTTTATTTTTATGGCAATTATGTTTTACATATCTACTTATGGCAATTATTATTGGCTTTTACTTTGTGGTGCCATCATAAATGTGTCCCCACTCACGTACCCCTTTGTACCCCTCTCCCCCTGCCGATTAGAATTTACAGTCTTTATTTCTTTCTATTTTTTTATAATGGTAAAGTAGATATAATGTAGAATTTGCCATTTTAACCATTTTTAAGTGTACAATTCAGTGGCATTAATGATATTCATAGTGTTGTGCAACCATCACCACTATTTGTTTCCAAAACATTTTCATCAGCCCAAACAGAAACTCTGTACCCATTAAGCTTTAAACCCCTGTTCCCTCCTCTGTAGCGTGGTAACCACTAACAATTTTTTACGCTTTATGCATTTGCCTATTCTAGATATTTCATGTAAGTGGGATTATATAATATTTGTGTTTTTATGCCTGGCTTCCTTCACTTAGCACAATGTTTTCAAGCTTTATACATCATGGCATGGTATTAGAATGGCATTCCTTTTTATGGCTGAATGATACCCATAGAGAGAGGGGGAGAGAAGGGAGGGGGAGAGAGACAGAGACAGACAGACACACAGATAGATGGACAGAGATAGAGATAGATAGATATCAGGGGTTTAAACCCAGCAGCTCTATGAAAAATCTGCTTCTGTAAAGATTACAGCGTAGGAAGCCCTATGTGGCAGTTTTACTCTGTCATAGAGCGTTGCTGTGACTTGGAATTGACTTGACAGGTTCACAGCAACAGTTCACACCCACACACATATATATGTGTAAAAACCAAAAATAAACAAACTCACTGCCGTTGAGTCGGTTCCGACTCATAGTGACCTCTCCTTGGGTTTCCAAGGTGGTCTCTATGGAAGTAGATTGCTCAATCTTCCTTCCAAGGAGTGGCTGGTGGGTTTGAACCACCAGCCTTCTGGTTAGCAGTCAAATGCCTTAGGCACCATGCCACCAGAACTCCCATATATGTGTAAAGTTTTTAAAATTTAAATAGGAACTGTTTGTTGATTTAAAGAGAAATATTGCTAGAACACAAAGGATATGGACATATCAGAAACCACAAAGGTGATAGGCAAATGTGTGAAGAATGGGAAACACTGGAATAAAGAGAAAGATTTTGGCTCAATCTAAGGAAGAGCTTTCTAATCATCCATGTTGTGCAAGGGTAGAATTGGCTATGTGTGCGCCTGTAGGTGTGCAGAGACAGGACCACCTCTCAGAGGGTATGATGCGAGGAGATTCATGGGTAACGACAGGCTGTGATTGGATGTTTCTCATTTGCTCGGGACCAGGCTTTCCTCAGATTCAAGCCACACGAATATAATCTGGACATCCCTGAGGGCCCTGTGGCTCAGTACTGCCACTTGGCGAGAGAGCTGCAGCTCGCGGCCTTCCTGGAGTTTGTAAGTGGAATGTCTGTCTCCTTTTCTTTGTCAGGCAGGTGGCAGAGCCGACAAAAATAATATTTAGAAGACATGTACCTTACATGATTGTCACATCCATAACTGCCCTGGGTAGTTGGCAGGGCAACTTATGAGTGCATTTTACTGATCAAAAGAATCCTAGCTAACACTTACTGGGAGTCTCAGTGTGGTACATACACTTAAACAGCTTGGCTGCTAACCAGAAGGTTGGAGATTTGAGTCTACCCAGGAGTGCCTTGGCAGAAAGACTTGGTGATCTACTTCTAAACATCAGCCATTGAAACCTTATAGAGCACAGTTCTACTCTGACACATAGGGGGTCACCAGGAGGCAAAATTGACTTGACGGCAACTGTTTTCAACCTTTATTGAGTCTTACTATCGCTGACACTGTGCTAAGCCCTTTATATTCGTAGATCATTTAATCCTCAAATCATGGCTTATGGGGTTGAAACTATTAATAGCCCCATTCCTCAGATGAGGGCTTGAGGCTCAGAGCAGGTGACCTCTGAGATTATATAGGTGGTCAATGGCAAGCTGGGATCTGAGCCCCCAAAGATTTTGCTCTTGACCACCATTCGGTACTTGTTGCACAATAACGATACTAAGAACTGGAACATATTGAATGCTGACTGTGTGCTGGGCACTCTGCTAAGCTCGTTTTATATTCATTGTTCCCATTCTTCAGATGGGAAGGTTGAAGCATAGAGAGGTTAACTAACATGCTAAAGGTCTCAGCTAGCTGGTGGGAGTGGGAGTGGGACTGGAACCCAGGCCTGCCTGCCTCTACAGTGCTTTCTCTCAGCCCCCACCTCCAACCTCCTTCTGTCAAGTCTCTCAAGCTCATCTCTCCCCACAGAAGCAGCGGCTGGAAGGCCTGGTATGGCAGCCACTGTGCAGCCTTGCCAAAGCCCTGGCAGGCCCTCAGAACCTGATTAAGAAACGTCTGGACAAACTGCTAGACTTTGAGCGGGTGGAAGAAAAGCTGTTGGAGGTGGGCAGCATGACCTACGAGGAGGAGGCAACCCGGCACACGTACCAGGCTCTTAACTCTCTGCTAGTGGCTGAGCTCCCACAGTTTAACCAGCTGACCATGCAGTGGCTGGGCCAGATCCTGTGCACATTTGTGGCTCTGCAGCAGGACCTTGCAAAGCAAGTGCTACAGAGAACAGAGGGCAGCTTGGCCCAGGTAAGGTCTCTTAGACTGGGGCATCTCTGGCTAATGGTCGTTCAGGGTCTTGCAGCCTGTTCATCCAGCTGTTTGCAGGGCTGCGATGGAGTGAGATTGGGCCTTCCAAACAGGCCATCAAGTGCGGATGGAGAAGGAGGCAGCAGGGACCTTCTGGATCTCTCTCGTGCTTATTCTTCTTTTGTTAATGGAGTCAGACCCTGAAGCAAGGATAGCACTAGGACTCCAACTGTTTCCAGACTCTGGGACAGAAGCAAAGGAGGTGGAACTATAGCATTTCTGGGTCCGGTCCTTGAGTATGTAGAAGTTGGTAGCAGAGGCAGAAAGTCCCTTGTGCAGTCTGGAGTAAATGTCTCAACCTAGTGTTACTACTACTATTACTACTTCTAGAGCTACCTTCTCTGGAGTGTTTTCTCTGTACCTGTTTGGAGCACCTTCCTCCATGCATTATCTCATGTAATTCTCACCACAATCCTGCAAAGTAGATATTATTATTACTATCCTCATTTCAACAATAAGGAAGCTGATGCATAGAGAAGTTAAGTAGCTTGCCCAAGGCCACACAGCTAATAGTAAGATTTGAACACTGGCAGTTCACCTCCAGAGCATGGGCTCTGAACCACAGTGCTCACAGCTTGTGTTTCTAAGGGGAGATATTGACTGAAACATAAGTTGATTGCAAAGAGTCTTGGGCAAACCTCCAAGCACAAACTCACACTTTGATTTTTGGAATTCTGAAGACAGAGGTTGAGATCTGGACTGCTTGCAGATGTTTTTTTTTTCTCTCCCTCTCTTTCTCTCATGCCATCATTAGAGCTGAGTGACCTATAGGTCTGACCTCAGGAACAATTTAAATACTCTTCATACCATACCCTAGAGGGCTCCTGCATCTATCTCATAGCTTCATGCTGCCTCTTCATTGTCTTAGCTTTCCCCATCCAGTTCTTTGCATGAACATTCCTCTAAAATTCACCTCCCACCTTTCCAGCTCAGAGCCCCACACCAAGCCACAGCCCCTCCCCTGCAGCGCAACCGATCTGAACATGCCTGTTAAGGTTCTCTAGTGCCGCTATAACAGACATACCACCAGTGGATGGTTTTAACAAACAGGATTTTTTTTTCTTACAGTTTAGGAGGCTAGAAGTCTGAGTTCAAAGTACCAACTCTAGGGGCTAGGTGAAGGCCCCTCCACCTTGGGCTCCGGCCCTGCCTCCTGTTCCTGGCCCACTAGAGCTGAAGGCTTTTTTTTTTTAAATTGTGATTTGGGTGAAGGTTTACAGAACAAATTTACTTTCCATACAGTGGTTCACATATACTTTGTCTCATGACATTGAACACAGTTTACCACAATGCAACAGCTCCCCTCCCACTTCCTCACCATAGTTACCTCTTCCCTGTGTCCATCCCTCCATGCACTCCTGCCCCCTGAGCTGTCTCCCTGTGCATAAGCAGCTCTTCTTTCTCCCATGATTGTTCTCTCCAAGGAGTGTATCTACTTGAGGTAAATGTTCAACTCATATGCCTGTCTTTTGTGAGGCTAGAAACCACAGGTGTGGGTTCAATTCCAGATCTGAAGGGCAGCTAGGGGCCATAGTCTCAGTGGTTCCACCAGGCTCTATCAGACCAGCAAACATGGTTCCCCCCCTCCTTTTTTTGTTTTCTCCAAATGATTTTGAGTTTTGTTCCACATTGTTCTTCCTCTTTATCAAGGATTGGAGGCTTTTTCTGATTCAGGCAGCTACTGGCTGCTGAGGCAGACGAACCCAAGATCAAGAAGTAAAATAGAATAGTCCCAGGATTAGCACACTACACAGCAGGCCACTAGTCCAAGTCCAGGAACAATGCCAAGATTGGCAGGCAACATGGCAAACCAGTGAGATGAAGACTTGGTCAAATGCAGACTCCAGATGTGCCAAAAAGCTTGAGACCCTTATCAAAGTGTCTCCTTGTATACTGGAAGCAGGCCACACCCCAAAGCCAACTAATTAGCTGCTCACAGCAGATTCTGCCATGGAGTTGATTACACCACATTCAATCTCATAATGGGGAAAAACTGTATCCAGCTGCCAGCCACTCAAAACCAGGTCTGGCCAAGTTGACACACAATCTTAACTACTACAATGCCCATGTTTGCTTCATACACGTACTCGCTGTGCCTGCAATGGCCCTTTCCATCCTCTCCCTTGCCTTTCACAGTGTCTGGCACGTGGTAGGAGCTCCCCAAATATGTGATAGATGGATGGGTCTCCATGAGGCCCTCAGAACTCCCCCTCCCCGAAGGGTGAGTTCATTTCTCCACCCTTGATACAGTAACCCTTATGGTATCCTTCTGCTCAGCACTTCCCAGAGCCTGCCTTTGGCTTGGATGATTGGTGAAAGAGCTTCTCCTCCTTGAGGAGACCTGGCACTGTGGCTTTTCCTCTTCTTGACCCTCAGCTTCACTTAATATAGAGTTCAGTCTCACACACTTTGAGTTGAATAGTCCTAAACCATCCTGCAAAAGTAAGCTCTTTTCTGAAGAGCTCCATTCTGGAATGTTCCCTGTGCCTGGAATGTCCCTCCCATCACCCCCATCCCCTGCCCTGGGCTTATCCTTCAGTCCTCTGGTTTCCTCCTTTGTATTTAGGCTAGCATGTGCAGGGCTGGGGAGTGTTATGGGATGCTAGGGGGAGGCCAACTTTACAAAAGCAGGAAATGAGGGCATTCAGATGCCATTTCCTATTTGGTCCTGTAGTATAGGATTTGGAGTCTGTCAGGGGTTAAATACCAGCCTGCCTTGTCTGTGTCTCATGTCCATTTGCCTATGCCAGCCCCTGTGGAGCCTGGGAAAAGCCTACAAGGTAAAAACCCCAATCTGTTTGCATCCTGGGAGTAGAAAGTCTCAATGTCACAACTAAGTGCCTTTGAGTCTGATGAGAAACCAATGAGTTTGGTGACAAGTAGAAATGACACGTCTCTATTAGCTGTGGGGGTCTCACTTGCACTTAGATTGTCTGATGAAAATACAGGAAATTTTTAGCAGAGTCAGGGTCTCAGGACCAAGCATTAGTCAGGGCTCCTTGGGTTACAAGTAACACAAACCCTAACCACACCATCTTATGTATAATAAGAGAATTTATTGACTGGGAGACCCAGAGTGGATCAAGCCTCAGGCACAGCAATATTCAGAACATAATGTTGTTAGGGCTCAGGCTTGCACTCCATCTCCTGGCTCTATTTTCCTCTCTGGGTTCCCTTTATTCTCGGGCAGACTTTTTTTCTGCATGGCAGTGTGGCTATTAACAGCTCCAAGCGTTTACCTTTATGTCTCATCATCCAGAGGAAGAGTGACCCTCTTGTTCTCAACCACCATGTACTTAATCTGATGGGAGTATACCCACTGGCCTTGCTAGTGTCCATTGTCTACCCTTGGACCAACCACTGTGGCAGGAGGAAGGGACGCCATGACCAGCAGTCCAGTCACCAGAGCACCTGCAGGGAACCCCCATAGAGGACCCCATAGGTTCTTCCATGGAGGGACATTTTGTTTTCTTTTTTTAAATTGTAGTGGTAAAATATATATATAACCTAAAATTTGCCCATTCAACATTTTTTCATGTATAGTTCAGTGACTTTAATTACATTAATCATGATGGGCAACCATTACCCGTATCCAGATTACCCATATCACCAGATTTTCCATCACCATTAACAGACATTTCACCAGTTCCTAAACAATGACTCCTCCTTTCTCCCTCCCACCTGCCCCTGGTAACCACTAATAGACTTTGATCTCTATACACTTGCCTACTCTAGATGTTACATATAAGTTGTTGTTGTTGTTATGTGCCGTCGAGTCGGCCCCGACTCATAGCGACCCCTCCTTGGGTTTCCGAGGCAGTATCACTACGGAAGTAGGATTGCCCAACCTTCCTTCCGAGGAGTGGCTGTTGGGTTTGAACTGCCAGCCTTCTGGTTAGCAGTCAAGTGCTTTAGCCACTATGCTACCAGAGCTCCTTACATATAAGTAGGATCATACAATATTGATCCTTTTGTGACTGACTTCCTTAGCATAATGTTTTCAAGGTTCATGGATGTTGTAGTATGTACCAGGACTTCATTTTTCTTTATGGCTGAGTGATATTCCATTGTGTGTATATACTGCATTTTATTTATCCATTCATTTGTTGATGGACATTGAAGCTGTTTCAACTTTTTGGCTGTTGTAAATAATGCTGCAGTGAACATTTGTATACAAGTATCTGTTTGAGTCAAGGGACACTTTCTTGAAGGAAAGTAGGGTAGTAGGCAAACAAAACCAATAAGTGTCCATGACAATAAAGAGCATTTTAACATAGATGAGTCCAATGTATGTACTTCCAAGGTCTCAGTCCCCTCTTTCCCAAAGAAGGCTCTGTTGAGAGTGTCTGTCTCCCACCCAGCTTCCCCACCACCATGTCTCTGAGCCTGACTTCAAGAAGCTTGTGGAAGATGAGCTAGACCAGAACAGTAACCAGCTTCACTCCTTCCGAGAGAACTTCAAGAAAGTGCTGCCACCTCCCACCATACAAGTAAGTGTCTACCCCAAAAACATTGTTCAGTCCTTTACTGCTACTGGGCTGAAGCTTAATTTCCTCTTTCCTTTCTACTTTTTTTTCCCAACATTTCCTGTTAGCCACATGTCTTAGCTTCCTAGTGCTGCTATAACAGCAGTACCACAAGTGGGTGTCTGTAAAGAACAGAAATTTATTTTCTCACAGTTTAGGAGGCTGGAAGTCTGAATTCAGGGCACCAGCTCTAGGGGAAGGCTTTCTTTCTCTGTGGGCTCTGTGGGTAAGTCCTTATCTCTTTTCAGCTTCTGTTCCTGGGTTCCTTGGGGGTCATCATGTGGTATGGCATCTGTCTTTCCTCATCTGCGCTTGCTTGCTTCTGTGCCTAATCTGCCCTTTTATATCTCAAAAGTGATTGGCTTATAGACATATCCTACCCTGCATGACCTCATTACTATAACAAAGAAAACTGTATTCCCAAGTGGGATTATATTCACAAGTACAGGGGTTAGGATTCCATTACCTATTTTGGGGAGGACACAGTTGAGTCTGTAACACCATGGAAATACTTCCTTTTCTCTTTTCCTCTGTTATTTCTCACTGTGAGTGGAGAGTAAAGAGTAGCAGTTGGGGATACACACCCTCATACTTATATACTCTTCATAGCCAAATAAGTGTAAGAACAGAATAGAACTCTTGGGTCAAGAATAAGAAAAGCCAAACGTTTTTATAGCAAGTAAAATGATAATAAGTGGCAAGTGATGTTAACTTCCCCAAACCTGAGCTTCCTCAGTTCATCATCAAAATTATCCTGTTTCCACACCATTTCCAACTGAGCTTGCTTCAAATACCAGCATTTAAGAGAAATAAAAAGTTTGGAAAAGAAGTAATTAATTAATTAATTTTTGCTTTAGTATTTTTTCATTGCAAAGGACAATACTTCAACTGTATAATGGTTTAAAAAGCTTTGGCTCACAAAATGCTTTTTTTTTTAAATTGTTTTTCTCTAAGAGATGAGGAAAAAGTATCTCCAGTATACTTGAAGAGTGTCCCAAGGTAGTATATGTTTAAAAAATATCTGAAGTAGCTGTAGAGAGAAGGAGTTTCCAGAGTATACCAAAATGTAGATTTAAGGAAGCTTGGGGATGTGACCCACCTGTGTGAAGTGAAGGGTCAGGAGACAACCCAAGATTCCTCAGAAAGGTGAAGGGGAAGGAGAGACAAGAGAGACAAGGAGAGGAGCCCAGCAGAACTGGGCATAGAAAAGTAGGCTTTGTGCGTGGCCAGAGTGCAGAGACTGTCAAAGACCACCCGAGACCAATGCCTACTCCAAGCACGGGAGGCTGACTCCTTTTTGGTACACAATGGTATCTACTCCCAGCCTACATTGAGAGCAGTTGTCTAGCAGAGGTCTCATCAAAGGTGTGTTGTGTGCCTGTGACTTAGGGAAAGAAGAGGAGGGTGCAGAAAATACAGAACATCATAGTTGCTCAAACACATCATGGGAAACTTCTTTCTCTTTCTACTTAAAACCAAAGTAACATTCATCTTATTTAAAAAGGACCTATGCATACTGTAGGGAGCTCTGGTGGCATAGTGCCTAAGGCATTTGACTGTAATCCAGAACGCTAGCAGTTCAAACCCACCAGCCACTCCTTGGAAGGAAGATTGGGCAATCTACTTCCATAGTGATACTGCCTTGGAAACCTAAGGAGGGGTTACTATGAGTTGAATTGACTTGATGGCAGTGAGTTTGGTTTGGTTTATGCTTATTCTAGAAAATTAGAAAAGAGGAAACAAATGACAATATACATAACAGCAGTGTGTGTTGCAGGTGGGTTGAAAATTGGTGGGAAGAAACCCACATATCACTGCTGCTGGCCTTCCTCCCCCACACCACACACCTTCTCTAAATTCCTGATCTGTTTGGCTATGGGTGGTGGCACTAATGGTTAAGTGCCTTGGTTACTAACTGAAAAGCTGGCAGTTCAAACCCACACAGTGGCTCCATGGGAGGAAAGACTTGGCAATCTTCTCTGATAAAGAGTACAGCCAAGGAAACCCTATGGGGCATGCTAAAACGGCAAGGAGGCCACATCTTCTGACCTCCTCTAACTGCACAAGAGGAAGACAGAATCACCATCAGTAGCCCAAGGCCTATTCCTGTGAGGCCAGACATGCCGCCTTCCTCCAGCCATTTCACCAACCCTGACACCAACTGTTCCTCCCGCAGCACTCACCACCTTTCTGCTGGGTTTGATAATTCACTGCAGTGGCCACACAGAACTCATAGATTATGGGGTTTATTAGGGAAGCACCAGGCTATAATTCAAGTTCAGGAAAAATGCTCAGTCTCTCTCAGCCCACCGTCACTCAGCCAACAGTCTCTCACAGTTTCTCTTCCAGCAGTGCGTGTTTCTCAGTGTCTCCCTCAGCAATGCATATCTCTTGCGTCTCTTTCTCAGGAACGCATGTCTCTCAGGAGTGCATGTCTCTCAGAAGCATGTGTCTCTCAGGAGTGCGTTTCTTCTCAGTAGTACATCCTTCTCAGCCAGCAGTCAGAGAGACTTCTGCCTCTAGGAGGACTCCTTTTGAGCCTGGCAGAGTGGCCAAACTAACCAGTCATAACATCAGAATTATAAATACCTGAGAGAGAGTGAACATCCCAGGACATTGCTTTATGCCACTCCCAACAGAAATACCCCAGGTGGATGACTTTTATAATCAGGAGCTCCTCAGTTGCTCACAGTAAATTCCACCAAGAAGTTTACAAAGACTTATGGCTAGAAAAGCCATACCAGGTAATTTACTACACTGCAGGGCAGTTGTACTCTTTCATATGGGGTCTCTATGAGTCACAGTCAACTCTATGGCACCTAACAACAACACAGAACCCAGCAGAAGTGAGAGCAGCCCTAGTGCTATCTTTACATGTCTTCCTCTGGGGACCCTACAGGGGAACTGCTGCTCTCTGCACAGATAGGGGCCTGCCAGACAGTAAGAAAGAAGACAAATGTTTGCTCTCCATTGGCGTTTATAGTCAGGCTAACCCCATAGTTCTGAAAAAACTCTCCCCAAAAGTCTCTGCACTTCTGTTTAAGAAACTGTTTAGAGATAGAGGAAATGTCAGGTTCTCTGCCCAGATGTTCCTGAAGGGCACTTCTGCCTAAATCCCACATCTAATACCTACCCACCCAGAGATACCTATATAGGGCAACATATGTTATGGTAGTACATATATAGTAGTATATAAAAATTACACATACACACACACACACACATGTATATATAAAATAATATACAGGAGCTCTGGTAGCGTGGTGCCTAAGGCATTTGACTGCTAACCAGAAGGCTGGTGGTTCAAACCCATCAGCCACTCCTCAGAAGGAAGGTCAGGCAATCTACTTCCATCGTGATACTACCTTGGAAACCCAAGGAGGGGTTGCTATGAGTTGGGTAGGACTTGATGGCAAACAACAACAAATTAATAATATAATATAATATAACATAATATAATATAAAATATAATATGTGTTTTTAGATGCTGTCAAATTGGTTTCAACTCACAGTGACCGCATGTACAGCACAGCTGCTCTTCCCACTTGTGGTATTTGTGTTATAGCAGTACTAGATAACTAAGACAACCCTTCACTAGAATGACCTCATTCACATAAAAAGGAAAACCCTATTTCCAGATAGGATCACATTCACAGTTAGAGGGTCAGGAATTCAACACATGTTTTGGGGAGACACACTTTAGTCATAGCATAGATGGCATTATTCTTGTCTCTAGCCTCTGTTTTCACATGGTCTGTTCTCCTGTATATCTGTGTCTAAATTTCCTCTTAGGAGGACACCAGTCATTGGATTAGGGCCCACCATAATCCACTAATACCTCATCTTGATTTGATTGCATCTGCAAAGACTATTTCCAAATAAGGTTATATTCAAAGGTACTGGGGTTAGGACATCATCATCTCTTTTGGATATACCATTCAACCCATAACAGATACTGTTGTTGTTGTGTGCTGTTAAGTCAATTCTGACTCATAATGAGCCTATAGGACAGAGTAGAACTGTCCCACAGGGTTTTCTAGGCTGTGGTCTTTAGGGGGGAGTCTGGTGGCATAGTGCCTAAGGCATCTGACTGCTAACCAGAAGGCTGGTGGTTCAAACCCATCAGCCACTCCTCGGAAGGAAGGTTGGGCAATCTACTTCCATAGTGATATTGCCTTGGAAACCCAAGGAGGGGTCGCTATGAGTCGGATCCAACTCCATGGCAGTGAGTTTGGTTTGGTTTTTGGTGATCTTTGTAGGAGCTGATCACCAGGTCTTTTCTCCCATGGAGTGGCTCTTGGGTTCAAACTGCTGACCTCTCAATTAACAGCCAAGCTGTTAATCATTGCACCAATAGGGATCCTTATAGCAGTTACTAAGAGTATAATTTCTCATCTGAGTCAACCATCTACTAGTGAGGAAACTATTGCCCCCACTGCAATGGGCTTTTGCTCATGGTCACACAGCTCATAACTGCAGAGGTAGGACCAGGACCAGGACTTCTGTTTCTCAGTATGTGGGTAAACACTGGTGCTGACTTTGAAACCCTAACCCAAGTACTGGTGTCTGTTTCTGTCCCTTCCCTCCCTAGCCACTCCTTCCAGGGGCTGAACGCCAGGTGCAGGGCCTCCTGAGCAAGTATGGCCCTGGGAAGCTGTACCAGGTGACGAGCAACATCAGTGGGACTGGGACTCTGGACCTGACACTGCCACGGGGCCAAATTGTGGCCCTCCTTCAAAACAAGGACACCAAAGGCAACAGCAGCCGCTGGCTGGTGGACACTGGGGGTATGTGTGTGACCTAGCGGACTCCTCCTTTCCTTCTGGGAAACTACCCAACAGAAGCTAGTGGGGATACATGGGCACTCTTGAGGCCAGCATAGGGCTGTGCGAGTTCAGGATGGAGATAAGCTCACATGAAAATGCAGGACTTGGGGCACAGTATAGGGCTTAGTATGACTCAGCAGTGCATGAAATGCCAAAAAGAGGATTTCAGTCTTTCTTTGAAGCATTCATTATCAAGCACCTACTGTGTGTTGAGTGCTGTGCAAGTAAGATGAGGACCCTGCTTTGGGGACCTCACAGACTATTGTGAAGAGATGTATAGGGAGAGAACTTCAACATCACTACAAAATATGGAGGACATAGGCACAGAGAAGGGATACTTGGATCCTGGCTACATTAACAGAAGTCTGATATCCAGAAACTGGAGCTCTGGTAGCACAATGCCTAAGGCATCAGACTGCTAACCAGAAGGTTGGTAGTTCAAACTCACCAGCTGCTCCATGGAAGCAAGACTGGTCTATCTGCTTCTGTAAAGATTTACTACCTCAGAAACCCAATGGGGGTTGCTATGAGTCAGAATCGACTCGATGGCAGTGGGTTTTTATTTTTATTTTTTCAAATCCAGAATGAGGAAGGTGATTATCTTGCCCCAGTGTGGCATAGTGCCTAAGACATTTGACTGTTAACCAGAAGACTGATGGTTCAAATCCACCAGCCACTCCTTGGAAGGAAGGTTGGGCAATCTACTTCTGTAGCAATACCACCTCAGAAACCCAAGGAGGGGTTGCTATGAGTCGGATCTGACTTGATGGCAGTGAGTTTGGTTGTTTTTAGAATGTACTGGCCCTTGGGATGTGCTGCTGCTTGGGTGTGGGTGCCCTAGTGTGGTAGACCTAGAGGCAAGGTGGCACCATGAAGCTAGGAAGAGATGGTTGTGAGGCTCAGCAAAATATCCTCCAAAGTGGGTCATGTGACCCACAAAATGAGTATTAGGATATCCATGGACAGTTTTCCGTACATCAGTAAACACCAAGCCAGTTGTCATTGACTCTGACTTGAGGTGACCCCATGAATCAGAGTAGAACTGTGCACCATGGGGTTTTCAGTGACTGATTTTTTGGAAGTAAATCACCAGACCTTTCTTCCAAGGTGCCTCTGGGTGGACTTGAACTTCCAGTCTTTCAGTTTTCAGCAGGCATGTTAACCATCTGCACCACACAAATCAAAACCAAAACCATTTGCCCTTGAGTTGTTTCCAACTTATGGTGACCATGTGTTTCAGAGTAGAACTGCCTTCCATAGGATTTTCATAGCTGTGACCTTTCAGAAGCAGATTGCCAGGGCTTTCTTCCAAGGTGCCTCTGGGTGATTTCTAACCATCAACTATTCAGTATTAGCCCAGGGCTTAACTGTTTGTGTCACTCAAAGTTGTACTACCCAAAGATTCATTTTCCCCCTGTAGACAGTTTTTATTGTAATTGATACCTTGGTATTTTAATATGTATTAGAATATATATATAACTAATACATAAACTGATCATTTTATTCATATTATCGAATAGTACAAGACTACATTTTCAAAAGTGGGTCCATTAAAAAATTAATTACACAGTGCAAATCAGGCAAAAAACACAGAAGGGCACTCTCATGAGTCAAGTCGGGGAAATAATGGAATGGGGATTCAAGGCAAGTCCCTTGGGGTCAAGAGACTGGGTTTGAATCCCAGTCCTATTGATCTACTAACTACATGATCTTGGGGAAGGTACAGATCCTTTCATTTTATGCTTCAACCATAAAATGGAGATAACAGTACCACCCTCAAGCTGATATGAACACTAGATACTTAAATGCTGGCACCTAGAGCTCCAGTGGCGTGGTGCTTAAGGCATTTGACTGCTAACCAGAAGGCTGGTGGAACCACCAGCCACTACTTGGAAGGAAGATGGGGCAACCTACTTCCATAGAGATACTGCCTCAGAAATGCAAGAAGGGGTCACTATGAGTTGGAATTGACTCAGTGGCAGTAAGTTTGGGTTTTTTTTTGGAGACCAACACTAAATTTTCTATATTAGAAGGATCTAGGGGCACTTGGAAAGGAGAAAACTGTCCTAAGGGGAAGAAAGCCCTTGATGTGAGTCACCACTAAAGGAGAAGGGGGGCCAGTGATGCCAATATCAGAAAAGTAGTCTTCATATCAGTCCAAGGAAGAGTTTTTAGCCTCCTTCAGAGCTGTTCAGAATGGAGTGGGGCTTCTTTTGTGGAGAATGGGCCCCCTGCACCCCTGGAGGTGTGCAAACATAAGTTAGAAACAGTAAGTGCGGGGAAGGAATACATATTGTGAGGTTCATAAAGGACCTTTTTAGATCCTCTTAGGGCTGAGAAGCTATGTTGGCAGTATTTGCATCCTTGACTGCCTCTGCTACTAAAAGGGATGGTGAAGATGGCCCATGGAGGAATAACATTCTACATGTCCCCTAGGACAGCGTGGGTACTTGCCAGCTGGGAAACTGAAGCTGTACCATGTTGTCCCCAGTGAGAAGGAGCACCAGGGTCAGGCGGGACCACATGAAGATTCCCGACATCTAACACCAGAACCCATTTTGGCCCCAGTTTCCTCTGTCCCAACCATGACCCAGGTGAGTCTGGGATGGGGTACGGCATGACTCCCATGACCCCTTGCACTGGGCCTTTGATTTTCCTCCTCTGTCAGGTGTACAATCCTCCTATCTGGAAGACCAGTGTCCTGACCGGGGGTGGTGGTGGTGGTGGTTTGTGCCATCGAATTGATTTTTGACTTATAGTGACCCTGGGAGCTCTGGTAGCATAGTGCCTAAGGCATTTGACTGCTAACCAGAAGGCTGGTGGTTCAAACCCACCAGCCACTCCCTGGAAGGAAGGTTGGGCAATCTACTTCCGTAGTGACACCACTTCAGAAACCCAAGGAGAGGTCGCTATGAGTCGGATCTGACTCCACGGCAATGGTTTTCATTGTTGTTGTTGTTGTTGTTATGTGCTGTCGAGTCAGCCCTGACTCATAGCGACCCCTCCTTGGGTTTCCGAGGCAGTATCACTACGGAAGTAGGATTGCCCAACCTTCCTTCCGAGGAGTGGCTGGTGGGTTTGAACCGCCAGCCTTCTGGTTAGCAGTCAAGTGTCTTAGCCACTATGCTACCAGAGCTCCTTAGTGACCCTATATAGGACAGAGTAGAACTGCCCCATAGGGTTTCCTAGACCAGTTACTCCACAGAAAAAAAATGAGGCAGTCTGCTTTTGTAAAGATTTACAGCCCTGGAAACCCAATGGGGGTCACTATGAGTTTGAATCAACTCGATGACAGTGAGTTTCTTTTGAGTTTAATCTTTATGGGAGTAGATTGCCAGGTCTTTCTTCCTGCTGAGCTGCTGGTGAGTTTGAACTGATGCCCTTTCAGTTAGCAGCTAAGTCCTTAACAATTGCACCACCAGGGATGGGACCAGGAAAAATGGGTCCTGGTACAGATTTCATTGTGGTTTCCCCTGCTGCACCAACAATAAAGGGCTAACCCCTTGCTCTCCCCTCCCCCCACCAACAGCAGAACAAGTGGGATTCTTTGTTCGTTCATTGATTCATTCAGAACTAGCCAGGCACTGTGCTAAATGAGCGATATAATGATGAACAAAAAAATAAATCCTAGTCCTTGCCTTCAAATTTACAATTCTGGGCATGGGGAACACAGTGATTGATAAAATAATCACAGAGATAATTGTTAAGTCTTTGCAGCAATAAGTGCTACAGCCCCAGGTGCAAGAGAGGTTCATGAGTGGTTTTTCTAAGAAGAGTGATGCAGTTTCTCAGATAGGACATTGCATAGGAGTTAATTTGATGAAGGGGCTGTACTGCAGGTGGGAAGAGCTCTCCACAGAGTGGCACAGTACATGCAGAGGCCCAGTGGCAGGAAGGGCAAGGGTTCTGTGAGGAGCTGACAGAAGCAAGTGTGGCTGAGAAAGGGCAAGGGGCCATGTAGAGGAAGATGCTGCTGGAAAGGGGGCAGGGGCCAAGCCGCCAAGGGATGAAGTGCTACTACTTGGATGAAACTTGAACAATATGCTAAATGAAAGAAGCCAATCACAAAGAAATGTATATGTATGGTTCCATTTATATGAAATGTCTGTTGTTGTTATGTGCCCTCAAGTTGGACCCGACTCATAGCGACCCCTCCTTGGGTTTCCGAGGCAGTATCACTACGGAAGTAGATTGCCCCATCTTCCTTCCAAGGAGTGGCTGGTGGGTTTGAACCAGCAGCCCTCTGGTTAGCAGTCCAGTGCCTTAGGCACTAGTAGAGACAAATAAGTAGAGACAGAAAGTAGATGAGTGGTTGCCAGGGGCTGGGAGAGGAGGGAATGAGGAGTGACTGTTAATGGGGATCAGATTTCTTTTGGGGATGATGAAAATGGTCTGGGACTAAATGTAGTAGTAGTTGTGCAACCCTGTGAGCATACTAAAAATGACCAAATTGAAACTTTGAAGGGTAAATTTTATTGTATGTGAATTATTTTTCAGTTTTAAAAAAAGAAAAAAAAGTGATGGGAAGCTATTAAGAGTTTGCTGTTGCAGGCATGGGGTCCTTGATGGGGGAGCATACTCAGTGGGGAGTGTGAGGCTTGGATGAGATAACAGAGCCAGGCTGGACATACTGTGAACCTCGGTGAAGGAGATCACCATCACAACGTGCAGCAGCGGTGAAGGAGGAGCTTCAGAGGTGGTGGATAAGCCAGAGAAGCGACCTAGATAGGGAGCCAGAGGCGGTGAGGACCAGGTGGCTGAGAAGCCTGGAGTGCTCTGCTGGTGGGTGGATGTGGGCAGAAGCCCTGGCCAGCGTGCGCCACACACCTTGGAAGGCTCACAGGGCTGCTTTCTCCTAGTCATTCTCACTCTTTTGGCAGAGGATACACAAGATCATGCCAGAAATCATGGCCACTTCACCAGCCCCAGCCCTACTGGAGAAGGAAATAAGGTGGTCCCTACTGCACAGGCATCAGCCAATGTGGGGGTATCTCTAGGATCCCTCCCCACCCAGGGAGGGGGAGCTAGATTGCCCCACTGCTGCCCACTCTGGGTGCTGTGAGGCTGGAGCACATGCACCCCTGTCCTGCCTTTGCCCATCAGTGGGGAGGAGTAGGGAAATGCAGAACAAAGGGGGAGGGCTGGGGCCCACCTTCAGACAGGAGTTCAGTGTCCTGGGGTCCTGTGAGCTTCAGAATCACCCCAGGGTGCTGCAGAAACTCTTGTGCCTTCACCTCTCACATTGGCACAGCTGTCTGTCTGCCCAAACAATCAGCTGCCTCCTCTTTGTTCATGGGGCTGTCCCAACCCCTCACTCCTTGTTGTTCCTGAGCCTTCATCAGTAGTCATAACAGTAAATGATGAAAGTAATAAAAGCAGTGTGCATTTACCGAGCCCTACTGTGTACCAGGCACTGTGCAAAGCCCTTTACATGGTTTGATTCATTTACTTCCTGTAATTACCTTAAACCACACCAAAGCCAAACTCACTGCCATCGAGTCGATTCCGACTCATAGTGACCCCCTTTGGGTTTTCAAGGCAGTAAATCTTTAGGGAAGTAGATTGCCCAGTCTTCCTTCAGTGGAGCAGCTGGTGGGTTTGAACCACCAACCTTCTGGCTACCAGTGAAATGTCTTAGGCATTGTGCTACCAGAGCTTCTTTATAATTACCTGGAGGGAGAATAGCATTACTTCCATTTTGTAGATGATGAAACCAAGGCTCATAAAAAAAACCCACTGCCACTAAGTCGTTTCTGACTCATAGTGACCCCCACTGGGTTTCTGAGGTGGTAAATCTTTACGGATGTAGATTGCCCAGTCTTCCTTCCGTGGAATGGCTGGTGGGTTTGAACTGCCAGCCTTCTGGTTAACATTCATATGCCTTAGTCACTGCACCACCAGAGCTCCCACTAAGGCTCAAGTGGTTGTTTTTGTTATGTGCCATCAAGTCAGACCTGACTCATAGTGTCCCCTCCTTGGGTTTCTGAGACAGTATCTACTATGAAAGTAGATTGCCCCATCTACCTTCTGAGGAGTGGCTAGTGGGTTTTGAACTGTCAGCCTTCTGGTTAGCAGTCAAGTGCCTTAGGCACTATGCTACCAGAGCTCCTACTAAGGCTCGTAGAGATTCTTTATCAGCCTAATAAAAGTACCCTGCTCCAATTTGTTCTCTAGTTCAATGCCTTTCCTAAACAGTAACCAAATCACCCATTTCTCCTCCAAGCTTAGAAACTGGTCTGGGCGGGTGGAACCCTTAGTTTGGGCTGAGGAGGGCTGTATTCTGCTAGTCATTCCCACTAGGAGGAAAAGTCCTCTGCTCACTGAGATGGCAGTAGTGGGTTGAAAGTCTTCATCCTGAGGTTAGATAGCCTAGGTTCACATTCTGCTGTGTGATTTTGTATCAGTTCCTTGACTTCTCTGAGTTTCAATTCCCTTATCTGAAAAATAGGGCAGATAGAATTAAAGAGTTGTTGTGAAAACCTAAACCAGGTAAAATGGTAGAAGAGTGACTGCCACATAGTAAGTATTAGCTGCAGTAGTAACTGCAGAAGTAGTCCTTGTTAGCACAAAGGATGAACTTGGGAGGTGATGGATAGCCAGCAATGGGATCCAGAATCAAGAATGAGGAATGGGATGAACGACCTCTCTGGGTTGAGTTTGTCTGTCTGCTCACCCTGACCATGTCGGTGTTGCTCCCCATGTGTTTCAGGTGGTGGCAGTGTACCCATTTGTGGCCAGAAGCAGCCATGAAGTGAGTCTGCAGGCAGGCCAACTGGTGACTGTTCTGGAGGCCCAGGACAAGAAGGGGAACCCGGAATGGAGTCTTGTGGATGTGAACGGACAGAGAGGCTATGTGCCCTCTAGCTTCCTGGCCAGAGCCCCAAGCCCAGCTCCATGGGGCTGGAGACTGCCTTCTTAGATGCCCACCTTGGAGCCCAAGTTGCCACAGGGATGGGGGAGGCTCAGAGGCTGTGACCTGGGAGGGAAAGTTTGTGAAAAAAAGGTGTTGGGGGGGAAGAGATCAGGTGAGGTGGGGTGAAGGGCACCCAGAAGGCAGCCAGAAGAGGTGGATGGGCCTTCTAGAGTGCCTGGTATGGGTGGACATGAAAGCGTCTGTAGTATTCCCAGGGCTCCAGCCAGGACTCTTATGTCCACGTAAAGAAATGGTTACAACTTTAGGTCACTACATTCTAGATGGCAGGTCACAGCCGATTGGCCAGAATGTGCATTCAGCTTTTGGCCAGTCTTACCTGTACTACCCCTGTCTAGGCCAGTCCATGGGACTAAGTCATGCAGGTGAATGCTACCTGTCTGCTGTGTGGTTGTAGGAGAAGTGGAGAACTGCCTGGCCTGACAATTCACCTAGATGTGGTTTCCAGATGTGGTGTCCAGAGACACCATAGCTGAGCAGCCATCCATTATTCCTCCATACTAGTCACCTCACCACTGAACCCCTGGGCCCTGTGAAGAGAGAGCTCTGGATTTGTCTATGCAGTGGCAGGGCTTCCAGGAGATATTGTCTAGACCCTGAGTGGGAGCATGATCCAGTCACAGCTCTGGAATGTATGTGGGCAAATGCAGAGGCTGCCCTAGGGAAGAAGGGATTTTCAGGGTGTGTTAGGTGGAGTGCATAAGGCTGTTGGCAGCAGTTGTACATTGTAGTTGTGTTCTCTGGATTAGGGGACCAAGTGACATGCAAATCATAGAGGAAGCTCTGTGAAGTAGGTGATTAAAGGTGTGGTGGGTGGGGGAGTTTCGTTAATGTCTTGATTTCCTGTTTCTGGGTAGAAGGGGAGTCAGGGAGAATCCCAGATCGTCCAGGAGGCCAGTGAGGGCCTGGAGGCAGCAGTTGACATGATGTCCTTGGCTGTGGGAACTTAGACATATGACACAGCCTCAGTTTTTCCACCCATAAAGGCCTAGTTCCCAGGGCTGTGGTAAGAATGACTTGAGGCTAAGGATGTGGAGGCTCCTTGTAAATTTTCAGTGTGATAATAGTGTCAATTACCATTGGTAGCAGGTGGCAGTGGCAGTGGTCTCAGGTTGATCCTAGCCATCAGCTGGCCCAGGCTGGCACTCCCATTCCCTTGCCCACAGCAGACATTTTTAATCAACATGGCGTTCTTTTCCATAAACCCTGGTTCTACCTCAGGATCCTTCTCAGTACATTATGCTAGATAGCCCATCTCTTGAACTCAACTGAGATCAAACCTACTGTCCATCCCTTTTTAGAAACTAGAAATTGAAGTCTCTGAAAACAGTTCCTGTTCAGGGAAGGCTGACCCATTGGGGCCCTTTTGGGTGCTGTCCCTGGAAGAGCCTCATCTCTAGGTTGTTGCTTTGGACTAAAAGTTACTGCAAGATTCACAGATGGGAGAAAGGTGATCCCATGTGATCTTAATACAAATGACAAAGTTTGAAACCAACCCACGTTAGAGTGTATGTCAAAACAGGTGGCAGTTAAGATTTGTTTCCAAGGTTATCACTGTGTTATTATAACTGCAGTGCCTAAAGCTGTTAGCTCTGGTTTTTGAAGGGCTTTTAAGAATCATATACATGTCTGTGTCAGATAGTAAGTAACTTCCCTCCTCTGGGCTTGTTAAAGCATGAATTCTCAGCATAATGCAAGAGAAACCCAGTCCCTTTCTCTACAAATGGTTTCTTCTTCTTTTTCTTTCCTGCTCAGATTTTTTACAAAGATAGGAAGCATACTGGAGCAGATAATATAATAGAAGACCCATTTGTTCCACAAACACTGATAGCCTACTGTGTGTTGTCACTGTGATGGGCTCTAGCACGATGTGGTCTTCAACTTAGCTGCTTACTGCAGTTACACTAGTGAAACTAGCGACTGGGTCAGGATCCCACCCTTGAGATCCTGATGTAGTGGTCTGGTGTATGGCCCGGGCTGTACAAACTCAGAAGTTCGCACCTCTGACCATACCACAGGTATTTCCAGTATATGGTCAGAGGTGCGAACTTCTGCCCTAGAGATGCAGCAGTGGAAGAGAGACTTGTGCTCAGAGACATCCGTGAGCTCTGAATGTGCATGTGCCCTGTTTGAGCTTTGTACTAGATGTTTCAGGAGGCCCCTGCTGAACAGGCAGCTTTAGAGATGGTTTGAAAAAGGACAGCTATTCTGTCAGGTCCCAGAATGTATATTTATTAAGTGCCATTAAAAGGGACCAGAATGAAAATTGGCTGTTCTTGTAGGCATAAGGGAGAGAACTAAAATATACTTGGAACCAAGTCTGTCTCATGAAGGGAAAATAAAAATGTATTCAGTAGCACATGGGTTATGGTTTCTCATAGACTAGGAGGTGAGATTAAAAACCACTGAAGGGTGAGAAAATGCATATTGAGAAGATGGAGAATGGCCTGAATTTTCTCCAGGGGACTCTCTGTAATTTGCCTTTTTTTTTTTCCCAAATGCCTAGAACCATTGCACTGTGTCTTATTTATTTCACTGTTGGGCTGTCACATACTAAACTTGTGAAGATATTTGCCTATGAATCGAACAAAACATCCAGACATTGAAGATTGATTCACAAGGGTACCTCTTGCTCCTTGCGATGGAGTGAGATCTCTTTAACTCTTTGGGCCCCAGCCCAGTGTGGGACGTGAGAACAAGATTGCAATATCAAAGGAAAGATGAATGAATTCTTGGTGAATATGATGAGCACTGTCTTGGTGAGTAGCTGATGTGAATTGCTGGAAATAAAGAATTTCATAGATGAAAATGTCTCTGAGATTTGTATGACTCTAACAGGAGGTACAGTGGTTAGAGCATTTGGCTGCTAACCAGAAGGTCAACATTTCTAATGTACCAGCTGCTTTGTGGAAGAAAGATGTGGCAATCTGCTTTCATAAAGATTTACAGCCTTGGAAACCTTGAGGGACTTTCCTATAGGGTCCGCTATGAGTTGGAACCGACTTGATGACAGCAGTTTGTTTTTCCGGTTTAACAATTGGCTAGTTGGATGCTTCAGTGTGCCATTTATTCATTGAACACTTGCTGTGTTTTGGTTACTTCATGCCACTATAACAGAAATACCACAGGTGGATGCCTTTAACAAACAGAAGTTTATTTTCTTAGAAGCTTGGAGGCTTGCCAAAGGGGCAGGGAGGCCACATCTTCTGACCTCCTCTAACCACACAAGAGGAAGACAGAATCACTGACATCAATAGCCCAAGGCCTATTCCTGCAAGGCCAGTCATGCTGCCTCCCTCCAGCCCTTGCACCAACCTTCCTCCTGCAACACCCACCACTTCTCTGCTAGGTTCGATAATTCGCTGCAGTGGCCACACACAACTCACAGATTATGGGCTTTATTAGGGAAGCACCAGGCTACAATTCAAGTTCAGGAACTACACTCAGTCTCTCTCAGCCTGCCATCTCTCAGCCAACAGTCTCTCTCAGTCTCCCAGCAGCATGTGTCTCTCGGTGTCTCTTTCTCAGCAGTGTGTGTCTCTCGGTGTCTCTTTCTCAGCAGCGCATATCTCTCAGTGTCTCTTTCTCAGCAGCGCATGTCTCTCAGGAGTGTGTTTCTCTCAGCAACATGTCTTTCTTAGCCAGCAGTCAGAGAGAGACTTCTTCTGCCTCTAGGAGGGCTCCTTTTGAGCCTGGCAGAGTGGCTAAACTAACCAATCATAACATCAGAATTATAAACACCTGAGAGAGAGTGAACTTTCCAGAACATTGCTTTGTGCCACTCACAACAGAAATACCCCAGATGGATAACTTTAACAATCAGGAGTTCCTCAGTTGCTCATGGCAAATTCCACCATGGAGTTTACAAAGACTTATGGCTAGAAAAGCCATACCAGGTAATTTACTACACCACAAGACTAGAAGTCCAAATTCAAAGTGTCAAACTCTAGGGGCTGGGTAAAAGCCCCTTGACCTTGGGCTTCAGCTCTGTCTCTTGCTTTGGGCTCACTGGAGCTGGAGGCATCTCTTAACTCAGGCAGCTGCTAACTGCTGAGGCTGATAAACTCAAGGTTGACAAGTATAATAGCACAGTCCCAAAATTATCAAACTACATGACAGGCCACTAATTCAAGTCCATTAACAGTCCCAAGATTGGCAGACAACATGGCAAGCGAAGACTTGGCTACATGTAGGATTCAAGCATACCAAAAGCTGGGGACCTTCCTCAAAGCTGTTGCTTATATACTGGAAGCAGACCACATCCCTAAGGCAGCTACTCAGCTGCTCCAGTAGATTCTACCATGGTGTTGATCACCAGTCTCACCATGGGAAATAACTATGTCTAGCTGCTCAGCCACTCAATCAGGCCTAGCCAAATTGACACATAACCTTAAGTACCACACTATATACATAAAAGGCAATTTCTTTCTTGTATTCATTCAACAACTGTCCACTGCATGCCCCTGATGCCTCCAGGAGCTGGCCTTTGCTTCTGGGGAACAGTGAGAAATCAGACAGATCGAGTCCTTGTTCTCCCAGAGCCCATACTCTGGTGGGGGAACAGACAAGGCAACAGTTTCATACAGTGTAAGTGTTAGGATGGTGGCAGTAGTGGTTCAGTAGTAGATTTCTCACCTTCCATCTAGAAGACCTGGATTTGAGTCCCTGCCAGTACACCTCAAGTGTAGCTACCATCGTCTGTCAGTAGAGACTTGAGTGTTGCTGTGATACGGAACAGGTTTTGGCGGAACTTCCAGACTAAGACCAGGAAGAAAGGCCTGGCAGTCTACTGAAAATAGCCAACGAAAAGCCTACATGTTATTTGTCATTTTGTTTTAGTTTGTGGAAGTCATATATATATTTATTAGATTCTTAATGTATATAATGGTTTCCAAAGATAGTCTCGGTCGGTAGCTTTTCTTTTCACTTTTTTGGTAAAGTGTTTTGATGAACAAAAGTTTTAAATTTTTATGAGGCCCTATGTATTT